TATCTTTTATGCCCATGAGCTGAATAGTTACCCACACTGGTCCCCAGAACCTTGCGGAATGTCCTGTCACACCACAGAGCTTCTGCATGGCTTCTGGTACTCCTTTGTGATCTAACATCTTGATACTCACGAGGGTTTGCTGAGATGCAGAATCTATGACAAAGTTGCACCTTTGGTCATCCAGCTTTCCTGTCACATAGAGACTATGTGTGCTTGGCATTATACACTTAGCTGTTGGGACTTTCACAATCGGGGTTGGTAGGCGTCCATCAACACGGCCACTACTGGTTTCCTTGAGGCTGACTTATTGGTAATATTCTTCTTACACTTGCTCCTCATATGTCCTTGCTCTCCACAGTTCCAACAACCTTTCTGGGTAGCAGCCTTTCCTGTTGTGGCATCTCTACTGTGTTGAAGTTGCCATCATTGAGTTTATTACAGTGCCAGCAAAGTCCCTCAAATCTCTCTGAAAGCTGCCCTTGAGTCCTGATCACTGTACCAACCTTGGTACCTCTGTGGTGGACTTAACGTAGGATTCAAATTCAAAAGCTCTGGCCATTGCATCTTCTATAGTAGAGGGTTGTGCTTGATTTACTTGTATCTTCAGTTGTGGACTGTCCAAAGCATCTACAAACTGATCCTTCAGCAACAACTTGAAGAGATCGGGTGGTGCAGTTGGGTAGGCCTTGTGTGTCATACTTTCCAAGTCCTGTGCCAGCTCTCCCCTTTAGCACGAACTCTCGTCCTAAACCTAGCCCTGTAATAGTATTGAGGTTAACGTCAATACTCTGAATCAAAGGAATTTGACGTAGTGAAGTTAGATCAGGGTATAAACGAGCCTAAGCTGTTGTTGTTTGTAAAAAATAGTGACCAAACTTTTGCAATGAAGAACTGTGAGAAAAGGAGAAGTGGGTTTCAAATGTAGGATTTTTCTTTTGCATAATCTAGAGAACTGAGCTCGTCTTGGGATACAATGTAATTAGTGGATATTTTTCAAGTCTTTTCAGCATGGAATTCTATAGAGTGAAAATGTCATGTCCTCAAGAGTTCTCTGGATAACAATTTTCTTAGAAATAAATCGGAAAGAAACAATGACTGATGAACTGTACAAGTTCACAATGTATTTTAATTTGACATACCTAATTTGTACATACGCCATATGTACAAATTAGGTCCTCATTCAGTGTTGATGTAATCTCATCAATAGAGACAAGCTGATCTTCATTAGGAATATGTAGGTGCCCAGTGATAAATCAAATTTTGTAGACTTGTTGGAAAAGTGGCTAAACAAATAAATCACTCTTTCCCTCAATTTCCTAGTCTTCATGGAGTTAATTTGCTCAGTTTGAAGGATGAATGTAGACGTCCATGGCAGAAAAAGTTAATCAATAACTTAATAAATGTTAAAGTTGAAACGGCAATAAACGAAATAACCCGAACAGGCAGTGAGAAAAGTTATTTTTTTTCAGTAATGAATGGCGATGTACGAAAGAGTGAATAGATGCTATATCTAGGCCAATTAAAGTTAAACCAACTGACCACTCTACGAGTATGATAGTTATAATTGACATAGAAGAACGATCCAGTTGTTTATCGACTATGGCTGTGTCATTAACTGGAACATGGGCAGTTTCCAGAAAAATGCACACATCACGAGATGTAATTGTTATAGACAAAAGTAGACAGCCTTACGTAGCTACAATGGAAGTTAATGATCTAAATTTATCGATTTAACGGAATGCACGAATAGTGAAAGTTTCAAGATAATAATAATTAGTTAAGTATAGTTTTGTGCGTATAAAATGGTTTCACTCTCTTTATTCTACTTTCTCACTACAAACGTTCCTAAGAGTTAACGAACGTGTGAACCAGGGCTCATTAACAAAACGTTTTTATTCACCACCTAAGTGAGACAAATTAGCCTTATCCCCAATTCAAATACCAGTCACCTGATAGGTCGAAGCAGGGACATGGAAAGTAAAAATTCTCGGATAATAGATCAAAATCGAAGTTTCTCAAGGTATTGGTTGGTTGAATTATATGATAATTGAATAGTCCAAGGATCGGGACACAGGTAATTTGATATTCACAAGGAGAGGTTTAGGGTTTTAGAAGAGTAAGAGGAATGAAAGAATCAAGACTTCCCATGACGGTAAAAAGAAATACATAGACTATCTAGACTCGCTATGAAGATAAGAAATACATAGACATTTCATGAAGAAAACAGTGTGAACGAAAGAAACACTGGCCTATTGTCCCAATGGACAGGGCTATTGCGTTATTGGATTTGAACTTACGGAAAAGAGTGAAATAAACTGGATTTAAATCCAAAGAAAATGAAATGTACTGGATAAAAGAAAATGAAAATAAACTTAATGTGAGAATTTACTCAAAATTGTTGGTATGCCTAATTAAAAGAAAATATGAGACTGGAATGAGGTAATACTTCTTCAGCCACTCTGGACTCTTTCGGCATCAGAAATGAAGCCCTTAAAATGTCAAACAGTTCTCACGATTCACATTCTCCTTGTAGCTGACTAAAAAAACAATCACACAATTACGTCACAAGTACCCAGTGTGACAAACATAAAGTGCACAGTGCAATGCTGCATAAAATATCCCACTAACTACTGAATCCTGCAACAGAAAGTTACACCTAAGGCAAACTTCTTCGACCAAATTTACTACGTTAAAACTAAAGACAAACGTTTGTAAATATAAACTATAGGAGAACGAGATATTTAAATACCACACTTAAGTGAACTACTTTTATTGTGAATAGTAGTGAAAGCATAACAAGTGAACAACAGAGAACAATAAAAAAAGCTATGGATTGGAACAACTGGAAATACATTACTGAGTAAAAGTTTAGCTAGGAAAGTCAACAGGTGGGATTTAAAAAACAGATTAATTGCACATAATAGAAATTCTTTACTGCCACAGTTACCAAGAGCACCTTTAAAAATGTTGTGTTTTTTTTTCAGAAAAAACATTATTTCAAATAAGTGTGACTAACAGTCCCACCTTGTGGAATATCCTTAAAGTAAAAAAAAACAACAAAAAGAACTAACAATATTGTGTACATTCTTTAAACTCTGAAAAAAAGTAGCAATTCACAAAAAATTAACGTTTGTGTATTGGTAAACACAAAGCTGTACGATGGGTTTTCTGTACCCGCCATGGGGAACATTCTCCAAACTTTATTAAACACAAAGCTGTACGATGGGTTTTCTGTATCCGCCATGGGGAACATTCTCCAAACTTTTTAAACACAAAGCTGTACGATGGGTTTTCTGTACCCGCCATGGGGAACATTCTTCAAACTTTATTAAACACAAAGCTGTACGATGGGTTTTCTGTACCCGCCATGGGGAACATTCTCCAAACTTTATTCATTAGCCCTCAATAATTCTACTTATTCCAAAAAATATTCAAACATGTGGCTGGTTTTTCTAGTTTCGGTTTATTACATCAGAACATTATCAAATATACAAATTTCTACTTCCTGAACTAATGAATTTATCTGCTCTTTAAGTATCTATATTTTTAGCTTTTAGCTAACAGCTCCGTCATCTTTTGACCGATTTGAGGTCTAATTAGTTTTGAACTCGGGTGGTCAAACCCTTTCGATTAATGTATATGACGACGCCCAAGGTCTCATAGAGTAACTTGTTATAATTCTGCTGGCCTGGCATGGCCAGGTGGTTAGGGTGCAATCTGCCGGTTCGAATCCCCGTCCCACCAAACATGCTTGTCCTTTCAGCCGTGGGGGCGTTATGATCTTTCGATCAATCCCATTATTCGATGGTAAAAGAGTAGCCCAAGAGTTGCTTGGTGGTGATGACTAGCTGCCTTCCCTCTAGTTTTTCACCCCTAAATTAGGGATTGCTAGCGCACATAGCCCTCGTGTAATTTTGCGCGAATTTCCAAAACAAACAATTCTAATCCTTCTTAAATGAATTTCCATTTGTGGGTAGGCTGGTAGAGATCCTGATGAGTAATAAAATCAAATCGTATATACACGCGCCCCACGCTTGGTATTGCTGGCGCACAAAAATACAGCTAATTAAAAAAAAGGGAAACAGAAAAATAAATTCAAGTGCTGCGGCTATTGAGGATTCCATCTTGTTTGTCTGAAGTTCCACAAGTGGTCACTAGTTGATGGAAAACACAACTTATGGCCAAAACCGAGAATACAGGGGTCAAGTACCTTAATATATCACGACTCTGAAAATGCAAATCGTAAAGTCACGTGACAAACACATCGAATACAAAGTTGCTGTGTATCGGCATATATCAGAACGACTTTTGTTACTGTTCTGCATAACGCAGGTAGTGTAATTTAATTGAAAACTGATTGCTTTTGGAAACGTATACAACAGTCCTTCCTGATGCAAGTATTCATATACACTTCACGTATTTAGCATGTACAAGATGGGGGTATCTATTGTACTCAATGGCAATGGAAAACAAAGGAATATGGATTAATCTGGGGTTACTAGGACCATTCAGACAAAAGCCTGGCAACAGGTCATACCTCAACCTTGGTGTATAAACCGAATAAAATATCAGTTGTCTACACTAATATTGCATCATAATTGAATTTCTTTAAAATTTCATATTCTAGCAAAAATTATTTTTTTTGAAAAACATTTAGCTTACGGTTAAAACTTTAGCTAAATTTTCAACAGCAGTTTATACAATGGTACAGATTAATTAAAATTTAGAACTGAAAATTAAGGACAGAACACATTACACAGTTTACATTCACTAACACTAATGTGTCTATTTCCATTGAAATATTTGAGAACAAACAATATAAAAATGACACATTTCATGGAATTCTGAAAAACAGATATATAGTTATACTTTAGTAATGGTGATACGGTTTCAACTACTTTCGTTCAATTAGATTGAAATAGAACAATACAAGCTCACGTTTCTTACTTACATAGATTCCAATCATTCAGTGGTAAATAAAAAAGGAGACAGAGAGAGAGTTAAAAGTTGAAAGCCGAGATAATTTTTATTCACATGATGACACAGGTTTACATTTATCACCTGAAGCACTTTTACCGTGGTTTTAAAACTATAGTTGAAATGGTTTATGGCTATGTAAAAAAAAACTAATGTTAAGAGAGACTTGTAATATTTTACTTTAATTTTTACAGCTCGTTATAACATTAAAATGTACCACTTCAATGTACTTTTTTTTGGAAATGCATTTCTATGACTATAACAAACACAGTCAAATCAGTTCTTAGTGGAACTATTAAAATGACAAAAACACAGTGGATATCATTTTTTGTAGGTAATTTACTACTCACCAACATATTTTACGTGAGGTTAATCTGCCAGTGCTGGATATGTCACTCCAGAAGTTATGTTAAAACATCATCATCTACATTAATTTTCTGTATTTTTGAGGAACCTACCAAACAATCTAAATGTTTCCACTAGAAAACTGAATGATGGGTGGAAAAAAAAACATGTTTCTCTGAATAACTCAATAATGAAAAGTCTTTGAGCTATGGTTAAATACATTCCTTAATATTCTGTACACAATAACATTTTTGTGTGTGCAGGTATAAATCACATGGTACAAAAACTGTCCAATCAAATTCAATGATGCACACAATGTCTATTTCTATCACCAAATAACAGCAACCCTACATATGGAAAATATCTGTCCACTGTGGGGAATTAAACCCCAGATTTTAGCATTGTAAGTTTGTAAACCTACCTTTGACCCATCAATGGACAAGACAGAAAACAATCATAAGGTTAACTGTATGTGAAACCTTTAGAATGCTTGAAATCATATTTTAAAAAATTTCAACTGAATGGTCATTTCTATAAACTTGTGTAAAGTGTAACTATTTTTATATACAGTGGGTCACAGAAAGATATTTCACATAAGTTACAAATGAAAAATTAATGACTAATCGTTCAATTTTCTTCAGAAACAAAGTTTCCAAGAAAATAGAACTTGGTGTGTTCCATGTGATGATTGCCTTTTCTTGTGTCATTTGGTTTTCTATCACGAATTACAACCATTTTCTTTTGTACAGTAATACATAAAAGAAAAACTTCGTGAAAGTGCATCAACTCTCATCAAATTAATCACAGTGCATTAACAGAAACAAAGGTTTGTAAGTATTTATTATCTGATAAACATTGGGCATAATATGTCCCATTTTTCTTTCTTTCAAAAACTTTAAAATACAAAGATTTCTTTAAAATGGGAGGACAGTACCTGTGTGTCAAATGTATTTAGAACCTCACTTTCACATCTGTATAACTGCTAAAAATATTATACAGAAAAAATTAGGATACTAAAAAGTTAACTGTGTTAAATATTCTCATTTTCAATAACCACATGGAAAAAATTTACTTTGCGAGAAATTATTTCATTAAGCTATCAAGAGAAAGAAGAAGTTACAAAATTGTTTTAAAGCATACAAACACTGTGCAATGAAAAACTTCTCAAAATACAACCAGACTAAAAAAAGAAAAACGACAAACACGGCTGTGTCCACAAAAATATCAGACATTTATCAACCGATTTTTGTGTCGAGAGAATACAAAGCACAATTATTAATTACTAGCAAAAATTCATCCATTACATTTGCAAGAAAAAAATAACTGGATATCCCATTAATATGAGTTAAATAATAAAATTAGTGCCTCTGGAACAGAACCATACATTTATTTAAAGAAAGAAACGTGTGTGTTGGTAAGAATTAACAATAATTCAGGTATAACTGAGGCAATTTTTCACTTTTATTGTCTTAGAAAAATTACACTAAACAATTAATGTCAATATTTAAGCACGTATACTGTAGCAATTACAATGAGATACACATGAACCTTCTAGACCCAGATGAATGATGAGATATAACTAGCAAATGTTCTATGTCTGTACTGGTATCATTTTGAAACCTTCTTTTACAAGAAAAAAATGGTTTCTGCTCAGAAGTACATAATAAAATTTTGTATAAATGGTTTTTTTCCTTTTACACTTGATATTATTGTAAGAGGAATCACGATTCGTATACGTGTTTTCTAGCTGGGTGGAGGTGGTGGAGGGGCTGTCAAAAGACTTGGGAGACCACTTTGAGTCAAGTTGTTTAAATCGACAGCCTGGCTGGTTGTAGTGACAGTATTACATGCTGGAGGTGGTGGAGGTGGAGGTGCTGCTAGATTAGGAGGAAGAGGTGGCTGGACTGGAGGAGGTGGTGGTACCCCCATGTAACCTGTTGTGAGCCAAGGAAATGATTGACTTCCAGAAACTGGATTACTGTGCGGTGGTGGTACAGGCATTGGAGCAGCTCCCATAGATTGGCTCGGGTTTCCAGGTTGCCAAGGAGGAAGAACTGTTGCCATGGCATTACCTGAAAAGAAGGGAAGAAACAGTACATTAGCTATTACATTAACGTGTAATAACCACTCAGTGTACTTAAC